AATATGCCTCGTGCTCTTGCTAGGGATGGCTCTCACCTCCAGCCACTTGCTCACATGTTCCACCATGAACACTATGTACTGATTCCCGCTCCTGCTCAGCGGCAGCTCTCCTGCAAGGTCTAGGGACCATCGGAACCCCAGCCCGCAGATTGGTAGTGAGTGCAGCTCTGCTTTGGCCTGTGTCAAGTTTGCTTTGCTCCTCTGACATGCCTCGCACCCCTCCACCCACTCCTTCACCTGCCTGCGCATCCCTTCCCACCACCAGCCCGTCTTCAGCAGCTGCACGGTCCTCTCGTGCCCGAAGTGTCCCAGCTTAGTGTGCACTTCCTTGATCACTGCTTCACGGTCCTTAGGCGCTGGCACCAGCTTCCAGCCATCCTCCGTCTTGACCTGCAGCTGCTGCTGATACCACCTGTAGTGGTGCCCTCGTGCCCTCACCCTCTCTGATATCGTCTCGTCTTCTTCGGTTTCTCCCTTCACCCATTCCATTGCCTTTGCATCCTGCCAGATGTCAGCTGGCCCCAGATTCCCTTTTGCACCGACCTGCTCCACCTCTCGTGCCAGCAAGATCAAGGTTTGCGCTGGCTCCGGCTCTGTCTCCTTCGTCCCCGGTATTATCTGTCCCGTTTCCAGCGGCGGTGGGTTGCGAGAGAGACCATCGACGTGCTGCAGCGTCTTCCCCGGCCTGTGCCTAATCTTAAAATCATATTCCTGCAACTTCACTGCCCACCTCGCGTTCCTCCCTGTCAGCCCTGGTGTGGTCATCAGCCATGTGAGGGGCTGATGATCAGTGACTAGGGTGAATTCTCGGCCCTGCAGGTATACCGGAAATGCCCGACCGCCCACACTGCCGCCAGCCCCTCCCCGATGTATGAGCTGTACTGGGCTTCCGCTGGGTTGCAGCTCCTGCTGGCGTAGGCCACCACCTTCTCCACTCCCTCCACCTCCTGGCACAGTATTGCCCCCATCCCTTGGCTGCTCCAGTCGGTGTACAAGATGAAGGGCTGGTCTGCTGCTGGCAGCCGCAGTACTGTCGCTGTCTTTACGGCTGTCATGAGGTCTTGCAGCGCTTCTCTCTGCTTCTCTCCCCACTCCCATGCCTTGTCTTCGCGCAGCATCCCATTCAGCACCGTCGCTCGCTTACTGAAGTTCGGCACGAAGCGCCTGTAGTAGCCGAGGAAGCCCAAGACCGCACGCAGTCCTGATTTGTCTCGTGGTTCCCTTAGCCTGTCCAGCACTTGCACCTTTGCTTGCTGGATCCCAATCTGCCCCCCTGTGACCTCGTACCCCAGGTACTGCACTGTCCGCTCCCCCCACTTGCATTTGTTCGGATGGCAAGTGAGCCCTGCCCCTTCTATGGCCGTTAGTGTCTTCTCCACATCCTCCAGGTGCTGCTGCTCGGTCAAGCTGAAGATCACGACATCATCGATATAGCACGCCGCGTGTTCTATTCCCCGCAGCACCGCGTCCATAACTCTCTGGAACACTGCCGAGGCGTTCCTCAGACCGAAGGGCATATACAGCCACTCGTACAGCCCATCCGGCCCGTGGAAGGCCGTTTTCTTCACGTCCTCCTCTCTGATCTTGATTTGATTGAACCCCTGTCGCAGGTCCAGCGTTGTGAAGAACACCCCGTCAGCCAACTTGTCAAAGAGCTCTTCTGCCATCGGCATGGGGTATCTATCTGGCACTGTGATTTTGTTAAGATCCCTGTAATCCCCGCACATCCTTCTGCTCAGCACCTCGCCTGTCAAGTCCTTTCGGGCTGCCACCACGGTCGGGGTGGCGTACTCGGACTCCGACCTCCTAATCAGTCCGGCTTCCAGCAACTCCTTTATCTTTTCCCTGCAGATCGCCTCATCTCTTGGTGGCATCTTCCTCCTGCGGTGGTACACCGGCTCGTCACTATTCAGCTTCAACGCCATCTCCTTGATCTTGCACTTCCCCAACTCCCGCAGGGTGAAGGCAAAGCCCTTCCTGTGCTTGGCCAGTAGTGCCCGCATTGCTGCCCTCCCTTCTTCGCTCATGCTCTCACCTATCATCCACTCTGGCTCCTGTTTCTGCTGGCAGGTCCACGCCCCTTGCCTAACTGTCGGCACTGTGTTTTCTCCCTCTTTCAGTCCCCAGTGCAGCACTGTCTCTCTCCACATCCGCTGCACCAACCACCTCAGCATGTACCCATCCATTGCATTCCCCATTGCCCGCCTCCATTCCTGTTCACTCACGCCAGGTGCTGCGGTCGCGTTCTCCTTGTACCCCATGGCCAGCTCCCTCTCAAAGGCCGTGGGCTCCTCCCACCGTCCCTTCCTGTGGTCGAGCACCAATCCTGGGCCTGGCTGCTTCCCGTCCATCCGATATCCTGCTGCCCCCTCATAAGACACCAGCGTAGGTAGTGCTTGCCTCTCCTGCCCCACCTGGTTGCATGGATAGTGTCTACTGTAGCTCCTCTTACTCACTGGTGCTGGTGTTCTTCCTGGCTCCAGTATATCGCTCAACTTCCGCCCCCCTGCTCTCTGCACCCCTTCTATCTCCTTCTGCAGTTCTTCCACTGGTACTACATTCTGCCAGTACATCCTGAGCCGGTGCGCGTATGCTCCCATCCGCGACGCGTCACTGCTCACCCCCTTACCCACCTGCTTGGTTACTCTCTCCCTGACCAGTCTCACTGGTTCTCTTACATCCCCTTCCAGGTCCAAGTGCTCTAGCAGGTAAGCCAGTTTGCCCTGCCTTGCCTGCACCCATTCCATGATTCTGAACAGATCCTCCATCAGTTGGGTCCTTGGGTCTTGTTCACCCTTGCCCTTCCCTGCCCATGATACCCCTTGGCATTCCCACCCGGCCACCAACAGGTCCACGTGCCCCCAGCTTGCCACCTCAGCTTCCGTAATGGCCCTTACGTCATGCACTCCTCTGCCTATTGCTGCCTTGATCACCTCTCCCTTCAACAGTTCCGGGAACTCCTTGTGCAACTCCCACGCATGCCGCTCCGCCATTTTTCTCACTTCTGCTGCCTTCTCCACGTAAATCCACTCCTTCACTGCAATCCCATTCCGCACCACTGCTGCCAGTCCCGCCCCTATTCCTCCGAACAGTTCCACTAGCCGGATGGGTTGCTGCCAATCGGTCTGTTGGCTAGGCTCGTCCATGAAGCGCATCCTGGGCTCTCTACCCTGTTCCTTGCCTGTCGTGCTCTCCTGTGCCCCTTGTTTCGCTGTCACCTCCTTCAGATCTGCCCTGTAAGCCCTTTTTGGCTCCGTCCTGACAAACTGCACAGGCAGCTGACCTAGTGGCTCACCCTTCCTCCACCACCTGGTCCTGAACTCCACTGTCTCCTTCCAAAAGCAGATGGTCATGCCCAATGCAAAAATCATTTCTGTGCCCACCAGGACGTCAAAATCTTCAGATTCTAAGATCCCGCACCTGATCCTAACCGGCGTTTCGTGTTTCTCCCCCTTTAGCACCGTCAGTTCTATTGGAGTCCTTGTACATGGCATCCACTTTGATTCTCCTCCCTCTGCCGTCATCACCAGCATCCCCTTCACCACATGCCTGTCCGGTGCCCACAGTCCCAGCTTCTCGGCCATCCCCTTCCCTAGTATCACGCTCTGCGCGCCAGTATCTATAATAGCCGTCTTGGCCTTCTCTCCTTCTACAGACAACGCGCCACCTTGGATCAACAGCACGGAAGTCTGGCAAGCCAACCTCTCCTGGGGGTGCCGTGCTGCTGTACATCTCCCTTCCTTCTCTTCCGGTTTCTGTCCCCTCTCCCTTTCCTTTCTCACCTGCTCCTTCCGTGCATCCTTTCCTCCACTGCGCAGCCCCATCTCCTCCCTTCCTCTCCATGCCATATAGGCTGGCTGCTCCTCGTGTTCCATCTCGTCCTCTGCTCTTCCTGCCCAGCTCATGAACGCGGCTTCCTCATCCTGCTCTACATCTTCTTCTTTTTCTTCCTTCGCGTACATCCCCGCTTCTGCTTCGCGTCGTGGTCCCATTGCTTGCAACTGGGCTTGTAACCTGCTAATTTGCCTTTCCAGGTCTTCTGGCGTCTTTTTCGCTGCTCCCTCTCGTTGGTAACATTCTTTCGCTGCATGCCCTCCCTTCCCACAGATTTCACACTTTGGCGCTGTTGGGCACTCCCGTCGCCGATGCCCTGGTTTGCCACAGGAGTCACAGTTCTTGCAGTCTCTGCGTAAGTGTCCCGGCTGCCCGCACCTATGGCACGTCCGAGTGTCAGGCCTGGTCTCCCCTCTTCCTGCAGCCCTGTCCCTCTCTTCCGGTATCATGGCTGCCGCCCACGTAGGCCCCCTGCCTCGTTCTGCTGCTCGAGGCCTCATACTTCCTCTGTGCCAGTTCCATCTTCTCTGCCATTTCAAACACCTCCTCTAGTGTGGCGTCAGCCCCCATCTCGTACACTTTCATCCGCAGCCTGCTCCCTAAAGTGCCCTCCAGCCCGTCTAGGAACTTGCTCACGAGCAGGCCCATGTCTGCGCAACTCACATCCTCCGCCAGGTTGACCAGCCGGTTGTAGTAGGTGAGTAGTGACTCGCCCCGCCCCTTCCTGAAATCTTGGAACTCCCTAATCTTCTCTGCTGTATGGCCTGGGAACTGCCGCTTCAGCCGCCTCAGGAATTCTTCCGTTGGGTCCTCCCCATACCTACCTGCCCTCTCCAGTAGCTCATCCATCTTCATCCTATACAGTGTCTCTGCCTCCCCTTCCAGCGTGTTTGGCAGACTCAGAAAGAAGTCTACTGCGTCCATGCCGCTCCTCTCGCATCTGTACCGCACATTGCCCACTTGCATCAGATAATTCTTCAGTGTGGGCCCCAGACGCTGGTCCCCTGAGAAGCATGCTGGCACTTCCACTCTCGTGACCATCGCCGTGTTTCCCCTTCCTTCTCCCCAGGCCTCACTCGGCCCGCCTGCTGATCTACCAGATGCTCCCCTCTCTCTCGCCCGCAGTATCCCCTCCCTTGCCTCTCTGGCTCGCTCCAGGCTGTGCATCAGCCCGCTGCCTCCCACTCTGCTGCCGCGTTGATCCTGTCCTCCTTCACCGGCACGTCTTTCGTCACGCTGCCGATACCGCCCAGGCGAGCGAGACCCAGCGCCCTGCCTTCCATCCCTGCTCCGCTGCCGCGACGGCGAGCGGTATCTGCCTCCCTGGCTTTCCTCGTGTCGTTGACGCCAATCTGGCAAGCACGCCTCACCTCCCCACCTCCCTCCATGGTACCGTCGCGTGTCAGGCGAGCGATAACCACCTTCGCGTCTCCCATCACGATGGTGATGCGGATCTGGTGAGCGCGAGCCCCCCTTGCTCCTCCCGCCGGATCTGGCAAGTGCGCACTGCCTCCGCGTTCTCCGTCACGGCGCTGTCGCGGATCTGGCGAGCGGTAACTGCTTCCGCGCCTCTCCTCATGCAGCGGCCGCGGATCAGGCGAGCGGTAGCCGCCTTCGCGCCTCTCGTCACGCAGCGGCCGCGGATCTGGCGAGCGGTAGCCGCCTTCGCGCCTCTCGTCACGCTGCGGCCGCGGATCTGGCGAGCACGCGCCGCCAGCGTGCCCCCCATCGCGATGCTGTCGCTGGCCTGATGCGAGCGCGCCGTCGCCGCGCCCCACGTCACGGTGCTGCCGCAGATCGGACACGCGCCCCTCGCCTCCGCGTTTCTCGTCACGATGCTGACGCGGATTCGGTGAGCGCGGGCCACTGCTACGCCTCCCGCCGTCGTTCTTCTCTTCGCCACGCGGCTGGTTCCGCGCACCATTCGTCCCGTCCGCTTTCGCCGCGCTTGGCTCCGCCGCCGCGCCCGCCTACGTCGAATCGGCCTCCTTGACTCCAGCGGGCATTTCGCGCTGCTCGCCTGCGCCTTCTTCCTGGGCTTTGTCATCGCCCTTCGCCTCGCCTTCGCGATTCGTTTCCTGCGCCTTATTCGCCGTGTCGGCCTCGTCCTCTCCGTCAACATCGAGGTCTCCCTGCCGACCAGAGAAAAATTCCTCCAGGCCACGCCCGCGACTCCGATCTTCGCGACGGCGGTAACCCTCTTCCGGCGAGCGATACGCTCCCGTGTCCTGGCGATGCCCATGATCGCCACCAGCTCCGTGTCGTGCATCCGTCCGCCACGGGTCACTTCCCATCCTGACGGACTCGAATCCGCCTCTTCCTTCTCGCTCTGCACCTTCTCCTCGGCGATCTGGCGCGAGAGGGACCAGATCTGCGCGAAAGGCCGGCCTCCGCGGCGAGCGCTCAGGCCTCCGCGGTGACCTCTCCAACGACCGCCCGCGCTCACGTGAGCGTTCGCGCCGTGAGCGATCATCCTTACGGCGACCATAGTTCCTGCCATAACGCAGTTCGTACACATCCATGCTTGCACACGCACCTTTCCGGTTGCTATAAAAGTTATGTAACTCTCACCTCAAGGGTCCTCCCTGAGTGGTGTGCCACGTGTCTGCACAGCTGAGGCAACAATAGTCCACTATACAAAAGGATAGCAACCGAAAAGCATCAGGGCTGTGTGAGCGAGTGACTTTACCTGGCCTGGGCTCGAACCGTGCATTTCTCAATGTGCGGCTCGAGCCTGGGTTGGTTCAATCACATTGGTCGCGTGGATCTCACCCTTGGTGCTCTCCTACCAACCTCGCGTCAACTTCTCTGGTTCCCCAACTACCTACCTTCGAATATTCATACACATCATTACTACACCCGAACCACACTAGAACTACACCTCAATCTAACTGGCACCTTATATGCACAACCGTGCATATTCGGTGACACTCCGCGGAGCTCACGTACAACCACTTGAAGAACCTGTATCAAGCAACAGACAGCGTAAACCAAAGCCGGTTAATGGCGCAGCTGACAACAATCGAAATGAAACCAGGCGAGAAGGGCATGGCATATATCAGTCGCTGCCGCGAACTGCGCGACAAGCTTCTTCGATGTGGAGGATCGATTTCAGAAGACGCCTTTGTCACGGTTGTCATCGGTGGTCTTGGCCCTCACTGGCGCTCCACTCGCGCCATATTACGGGCATACGGGAGAATCTCCGAAGCAGCACTCTGCGCCGAAATCCATGCTGAACAGCAGGACATGGACCTGCAAGAAGAACGACATAAGAAGAAAACGTCAGTACCAGAGTTCGCGTTTCACACCCAGCGACGCTACAACAACAACAATCGACAGCAACAACAATTGAAGCCAGTACCTCAGTTTTGCCATATTTGCAAGACTTCAGGGCATCCTCGTACGCACTGCCCGTATCGCCAGCAATCGACAACACCACAGCGACAACTTCGGCCTTCAAGCTCCCAAGTCACTTCAACGCAAGCAACTCCCACGACAAAGATTCAAACCTCAACGACTCCAACAGGACAACCTGCACAAGGAGCAAGAAACATCGTCAACTGCATGGCAAAGACAACAGATTCCTGCATCACCGAATCACCGCCGCACTACTCAGCAGAAGAACGACTTGACGAAACCACACCTCGCCGCGAGTCACTTCAGCCGAACCCGACATACGCCGCCATCGCTCAAAGCGAGCCATCCGGAAGAGACACTTGGTTCTTGGACAGTTGCTGCGGACAACACATGTGCTCCTCAGGACGTTTCGTTCAACGCGAGCACCGACTTCAACGAGAAGTCGTCATCACCGTCGCCAATAATCAGAACCTGCGAACAAGACGACAAGGCATAGTACAGCTTCAGTCACGAGAGACGAACGTCGTACTACAAATGTCGGAAGTCCTAATAGCAGAGGGACTCGGCTACAACTTACTGAGCGTCAGTCAGCTGATGGCGAAAGGCATACACCTGGAAGCCGACAGCACCACCCAGGAGTTCAAACTGTACCACGAGAAGGGCGGCCTCTACATCGGAAAGGCGGTTCTGAAGAATAACGTCTTTGTCCTTGACTTCGTCCCAGACCTGGGCACCGCAGACAGCGACGCCATCGTGAACTTCGCCGACTGGACGCACCCTCCAGATCTTGATCCATACTTCAGCCCGGAAGGCTTCTGGTACTCGCATACCATCCCTGAAGTAGAACGAACACGCGCGTTAGCAACAATTCAACATCCGGCAGCAGCAGAGACAACATCGGCAGCAGCAGAAGCAGCAGAGACAACATCGGCAGCAGCAGAAACATCATCGGCAGTAGCAGAACCATCGTCAGCGACACCAGTTCTCGTTGACAAAGCACCACCAACACTCGCATAGCAGCTGAACCCAACTCAACGAGAAGTCCACAGAAGCACAAACTTCGTCGCCAGCTTCTACTCCAGCTCCGATGCGTATCGACGCTCACCCGGACACCGCGCCTCCGTAGACATCTGGCACGCACGCATGGGACATCCAAGCAACACCGTGTTAAATAATACAATAAGAGCAGGAGTCCTAGACAAGGATTCATTACTACTACCCGACGGCAGAGAACTTCAACGGGCACGAGGAACTTGCCTCACCTGCCCCGAAGCCGACTTACCACATCGACCGTTTACTCCTCACCACAACCCGAGCGCATCCGCGTACGCACCACTCGAGAAGGTGTACAGCGATATTCTCTTCAATCGAGAACCAGGACAAGTTACTTACAACTACACGATAACCTTCATCGACGCCGCCACTCGATATGTCTGGCACCTAAACCTACCCAGCCGCGACATGGCACTCGCAGCGTTCGCCGCCTGGCTACCAGTAGCAGAGAGAGAGTTGGGAGCACAGCTGAAAAGCTTCCAGTCAGACGGAGGAGGAGAATGCACCTCTCAGCGCTTCAAGTAGTACCTGGCGGAAAGAGGAATCAAGCAGCTCCTCTCCCTTCCCTACGCCCATCAGCAGCAAGGTGTCGAAGAAAGAATTAACAGGACTCTGCAGAACAGCATGCGCAAACTGCTACGTGGCATGCGGCTACCCAACCACCAGTGGCCTGCAGCAATGGACCACGCTGTCATGCTGCACAACTTGATGTCGTCGTCCTCACTTCCGAACAACGCATCACCGCATCTGCTGTGGACAGGGAAACAGGGCAGCACAAAAATGTTACGAGTTTTCGGGTGCATGGTACAGTACCGACCCCCAGAAGTACGAGCGGGAAGATTTTCACAACGCGCACAGTGGGGACTACACCTCGGCATCGAAAAGAATTACAACGCGTGGAAAATCTTCGACGTCCACTCCAAGGAAACAGTAGCAGCACGTGACGTGATCTTCTACGAACGACTCACGCTTCAGACGTACCTCGCCAACTTGCACGAAAATAAGGACCCCACAGGTGGCTTTCGTGGTGACCGAGCCTTCGCCTCAGCAGCGGACGAAGCAGACTGGGACGAGCAGAACGCCGACAACGCATCAGAAGAAGCCGGACCTCTACCGTTCTGCTCCGTCAACGTCCCCATGGACGAAGAAAATCCTCGCGAAAGTGCCAACGCCGAAGTCTTCTACCACTTCGCCGACAACGGTTACGTAACACCTGCGACAGTCAACACCAACGAAGCAGAACGGATAGGGCCGAATTTCATACCCGACCCAGAAGCGGGAGATGAAGCAGCTTATCCCGAGGACACAACTCTCCCCCGCTACTCACAGACTGGACTGCAGATTCTCGGCCTCGTCACCGCAGTCCACGGCAATGCTCTTCCTAAAGAGCCTGCGACAGTTCAGCATGCTCTGGGGGGGGAACACAGGGAGAAATGGCGTGAAGCCATGGACAGAGAGTTAAAGGCGCTGGAGGAACGCAACACCTGGAAAGTCGTTCCCGTAAGCGTGGCAAGGAACAAGACCATCCTCACCGGGAAATGGGTCTTCCGCATTAAAACAAAGGCAGACGGTACAATCGAGAAATTCAAAGCACGCTGGGTCGTGCGTGGATCGACCAGGAGCATGGACGGGACTTCACCGAGACATTCGCCCCGGTCAGCCGACATACCTCACTCCAAATTCTTCTCGCGATCGCCGCTATGAAGAAGAAGAAACTGCGACAAATCGATGTCGCCAACGCGTTCCTCTACGCACCCGTCCACGCCGAAATCTTCGTCGAGCTCCCACACGGTACCCACGGGGAACCTAACCAAGTTTGCCAGCTACTGAAATCGCTCTACGGTATCAAACAAGCCCCGCGGCTGTGGCAACAGCACCTACACACTCGCCTCACTCGCATCGGATTCCGCCAACTACCTCACGACCAAGGAATGTATCGACTCACCAAAAACGCCGACTATATCATGTTGATCGTCTACGTCGACGACCTACTCTACATTGGCTCCACCGACGACGTCACCACCTGGTTCGAAGGGGAGCTGCAGAGGGATCTTACACTCACGGTCTCCTCTACCGTCACTCAGTACCTCGGACTCAACATCCGCGAAGAAGAGAACGCGATCTATCTCTGCGCCGAAAAGTATGCCGACACTATCGCCAAACGCTTCTCGCTCACACCTACCACTATCTCCACGCCATACGGCTACACGGCAGGGAACGACAAAGGAGGTCCCGCTCTACTCAAAACCGCCGGAATACGCGACTACCAGAGGAAGCTGGGCTGCCTTCTCTTCGCAGCCGTCACCTGCCGCCCAGATCTGTCCTACTCCACAAGTCAACTTGCTACCTATCTCAAAAGGCCCGAAACAGAACACCTGGCGGAACTCGACCGCGCTCTCCACTACTTCGTGAGCACCTCGACGATCGGTCTGACATACAACAAGAGTAAAACTACACCGACGAAACTAATCGGCTACGTCGATGCCGATCACGCCGGCGATTCAGACAACAGACGCTCCCGCACTGGCTACATCTACCGCCTCGAACCTATCGGACCTATCTCCTGGCAATCGAGCAAGTAGGAACTAATCGCTCTCTCCTCAGCTGAAGCAGAATATATCGCACTCTGCTCAGCCACCAAGGAAGGACTCTATCTTCGCGAGCTGCTGGAAGAAGCGAAGTTAGCCGAGTTACCCAACTTCACTCTGTTCTGCGACAACCAATCTGCGATTCGCATCGCCAACAAGAGCGGATTCGCGAACCGAACGAAGCATATCGCCCTGCGATATTTCTTCGTGAAAGACGAGATCGAGAAAGGGAAACTCAAACTATCCTACTGTCCCACGTCTGAGATGGCAGCTGACTACTTGACCAAGAAGCTCGGAAAACAGAAGTTCGAGTACTGCATGCTGCTGACTGGACAAATCCACGTCACCATCAGCGACACTCCAGAAGCGAAGGGGAGTGTTGGGAACAAATAGTCTTAAGCGCCTCTGTCGTGTCGAAACTCAAGACACAAGCGAAGCAGCTCAAATCGAAGCAACGCGAGTCAACCCTCGGAGGTTAACGTAACCGCTG